ATAATAGTTTACAGAAATTTGCGTCTACTGTTCTCTGACCTAAAGGGTCGTAGAACACAATTTCCCGTAAGAGCTGAGTTTTATCCTTAACAATAGTCAAAGTCCAGTGACAGCCATCAACTAGTTGCGGTAGTACAAAATAATTCACCAATCCTTCCTTGCAACTTTTCATTCGGGTTGTTAGCTTTATCAAGGCGATGCCTTTTTCTTCAGGKGTCATGTCGCGACTGCTTTGAATCCCGTGAAGTTGCGCATTCAGATTGGTATCAAACATCTTTACTGTTAGGCCAACTTCCTTTGCTTCTTTTGCAATTAAAGACAAKGATGCACTGAGTATGTTATCGTTGACGTATCCTGTCGGTGACACTAAGGAATAACTGTGGTCAGTTTGGGGGTACTCCAGAGTTTTAAGGTCTTTTCCAAAGATTTTAATTCCAGCAATTTCAGCAAACATTTCATCTCTACCATCTATGTTCATGCATCGCTTTAGCTTTGCTTCACAGGTAAGCGCTTTTTCACAACCATTTAGTGTTTCCTCTTGAAAGTCATGATGGGTGTTTTGTCCGGACAAATTAGCGTCCACGCCCGACAAAGAAGAACATTCCTCCACCTGCGCATCCCTCTCATAAAACAATATATAGCAGCTTGTTTCTACCAGTTTACTGGACAAATAACCTGGCTTCAATTCTCTGACTTGATCGTCATCCACTTCTACTAACTTATCGTCCGCATCTAGGCCTAAAAGTGCCTTGTAATGACCTGTCTGCAGATGCTCACCCACATGCAAGACCACTGCTTTCAAATGATAACGCTYTGTTTTTGATTCTTCCACAGACGTTGTGATATACCTAGATCTTAATTGTATTGTTCYGTCTATTCGAACCCTTTCCGATTTCTTTGTCTGTCCACCAGTATACCTCTTCAACGTCAGGGTTAATACTTCTGGGGCTAATGCGATATTGCTGTATTTCAGGTGGTCTGTTTCTCTTTTACAAGTATCGCATCGAACTTGACACTCTTGCTTTCCTAGAATTTCAGCTTCAAAGAATTGATYATATATGTTTTGTAATCGCAATTCCTTGTGAACCGTCTCCTTTGCATCTGGAATGGTAAGTGAGAAAGAATGCATTGCTTCATCTTGAATATGACATTCCGAGTCACAGTCGAGGCATTTTTTGAATGTGGAAAGTACCGAGCTTGCACGCTGGCACGCCAAACTTCCTCGCCCAGTACAAGATTCTTTGAGGTCGTTCATTAGCAGCACAAGTCCTTCCTCTGCATCTTGTTGCCCCGTACCCCACTTGTGCCTCCTTAAAAATTGGTTGTATAAACCCTTATGCACATCAAGTGGTCTTGAACGGACTTTCA